TCCCAGAGTCCCAGAGGCTCCCCCGCCCTCCACACCACACGCTGGAAGCCAGAGGAGGCAATGTTCCTCACCTAAGGCTGTCCGGTATGCTGCGTGTAGCCTCAGCTCTAGGCTCCTCCTCCTGTGAAGAGCCCTGCCAGGAACGCCACACGTTGCCACACAGCTTCCTCTACACCTTGCTGAAGGACACAGCCTACATCGGCTCCTTGCCAGAGTCTGGAAGAAATCTCATCTGTAGAATTCTTGTATGACCCTCTGGTGTCATAGTTAATGGTCCCAAATCATAGGATGCAAAGTCACCCTCTGGTGGAAAGGGACTGGGTCACAGAGGAGATGGCATGAGTACATGGTCCTTGTCCTTCTGCATTCTGATTGTCCATAGCAGCACCCACCTTGGGGGTGACTGTCCGTACATGGCTCCCACACATGTGAACAACTCTAAGGAAGTCCTAGCCTGTTAGAAATGAGCTTTTAGGTGATTCTCCCCTCAGGGCACTTCCTGAAGCATCCCAGATTCCGTATACCCAAGTCTCCCATGGGCTGGGCCATGTTTCCAACTATTGGGTGAATCTGTACTCCGGGAAAGATGGAGGGGGTGGTGGCAGCTGTGTCCTTTATGTGTCCTTTGTAGCATGGCATGCACATGGCACCGCTTGGTAAAGAACGAGACCCCCACGCAAGGCTCCCGCAGAAGGCTGTGGAGTTGAACCACCTGCTGTCCAGAGCCTTGCCATGTCTGGTCTCCATTCAGTGGTTAACTAACTTGGCAGGATCCAGGAGACAAGATGGGCACCCCACACTGCACTGGGGCCATCTCCGTTAGGCTTGGCGGAATTAGTCTTGCCGGTCTGTCTTCCATTCTGTTCCTAAGGGTGTCCATGTCCTGATAGGGAAGCTTCATACAGAAAGAATAGCTCTGCTCATGTGGCAGAAGTCTGGACTGGGGCTTTTGGAGCCACTCGTCTCTGCGCTGTGCAGAAATGATCAGAGCTGCCGTGCACCATGAGTCGTCGTCCCTTCTCAAAGTCACCAGCCACAGCACCACCTCGCACGTCCTGCGCTCTGGAATCCCAGGAAGCAAGATGCTTTTGACCTGGAATTACCAACAGTTGTGGGTTTCTTGTGGACCCACCCACGGTGTGTTAAAATCCCACATACTCTATCCTCATACTTCCTCCTGTGGTAGAAGCTAACGGAAACAGGGTCTCTTTTTTTTTCTTTCAGCCTCCAGCCATCTTCCAAAGCCAAGTTAAAGAGCAAAAGTGGAGTTTGTATCACAATCTTCACCTCCTGAGTCCTCCATGGGGGTAGGTGACGTGCTGGACCCATGTCAACCACTCAGATTGGAACAAGTATCCCCAAGGGATACCAAGCACTGTACTGAGTGGTTCTCAGGGGTCTGCAGCTTGTTCTGGGCTGGTACCGAGGAACTTGAGGATGGCATTTAAGAGAGTGGGGGCACAGAGCCCCTAATTATTGGAGTCCCAGCATTCGTCGGTGGGGAGGTCTGGAGAAACACCTCCATCATAAGAACAGCCGTTAGCACCGCTGTCACGCCATAGCTCTTCCCTGGACCAACAGCCGGGAAGGCTGGCAGAAGAGGGCAGGGCAAAAAGAATAAATTTCGTTTTATTGTAGAAATGGAAATTTGTGTCATGGCTTTAAAAATCTGGTTTTATGTGTGTGTTTAAAGCCATTCATTTTAAATGTAGCCCCATAAATCCTTGCTTCGGAATCAAAGCTGTTTTAATTACATTTCACCCATGGCTACTTATCTCGTGCTGATGGGGAAAGAGTTAAAAAGAGAACCCCGGAGTGAATCAGAGGTGAGATCTTTAGCACAAGCATAAAAAATCAATTTAAGATGAATTTTAGTACTATAAAAATTCTTCACATATCCTTTTAAGAGTGGGAAATGCTAGGAAACACGGCTCGCCCTCTGGAAGGTGGAAGGCAGGCCAACATTGGCAGCAGAGGCCTCCGAGCCGCCACTGGGAAATACAGAAGGCCCAGACTCGTGCTTTAAAATGTTCCCTCATACGGTGAACACTGATGTCCGTCAGAACCCCGGTGTGCAGCACCCATCAGCACCCACACTAACCTGGCCTTGGTGTTGAGGTCCTAACTAGCCTTAACTACCTGTTTTATCTGTACCTACCCCTCTCCACCCCCCACTCATGTTCTATGAAGGTGGTAGTTTGTACAAGACTTAAAGGCAGTCCCATCCCTTCTGTGTCCTTGGTTGGGAGTCTGTGCACATAGATGTGGATTTTAGTCACTGCCTGTCTGAGCAGGTGGAGTGAACCCTGAAGACTACGGGCTCCTTGCTGGCTGCCTTGCTCTAAAGGGACCTGCAGACACCACACCTATTCCCTCTAACCTCAGTCTTCCCGCCCTTGTCATCACCAGGGACCAGGAGGGCAGAGTGCATTATGTATTTCTCCATCTCTTCCTTTAGACATCCTCGACACGCCGTCCCCTTAGTTAGTGAGCGACAGAGGAAGAATAAAATGACGGAGCATGTATCTCTAAAATTGAGTAATATCGAAGCCAGGCACGGGCAGAAGTTTCCCTTCCCATGATCAGACAGTGCTAATAGGGGAAAGCAATCAGGGCAATGAGACAGTTCCATCTCCCTAGGAGACTCCCAAGAGAGGCCTGTAGTCTGCATGCAGAGCGAGCTGTCATCCCTGGGGCCCACCTGGGGTGTACAGGCAGCGGCAGTGGGGAGGGACATCATACCTGTTTGTTGGGGTGCAGGACGGAATGAGGCCCCGCTTAGCGGTTTCAGAAAGAGCAGTTGTGATAGCCACAGGATTAGGCAGCTCAGGGCCCGGTTGTGTGTGTATAGAAGTTGGGGGTACAGAGGACAATCTCTGGTGTCACTCCTCAGGTGCTGTCCATCTTCTTTAGACCCTAGGGTCTCTCACTGGGTTGGCACTCACCATGCAGGCTAGGCCATCTTCCCGTCCCCAGCACTGAGAGTCCGAGCACATGCTGTGGTCCCGGCCTTTTCACTTTGACACTGAGAGTCTGACTTAGATCGCTGTGCTTGTGTGGCAATCCTTTGCCAGCTGAGTTATTGTCCCATCCTCCCAGGCCTGGTGTCTCCTCTCAGCCATTCACTCCTGCCCCATATCCTCATGCATTATGGCTTCTTTCTCCATCCATCCTCTGGTTCCTTCCTAAGGGCCGAAAGCGTTCAATATGCGTCTACGGCCTTTTCTGAATGACCTCCAGTTCTCTCTGAAAACAATACAAAGGAACCCTGCTCTGCATCCTAGCCTGGAAGTTCATTTCTTTGAAATACACAGGGACTTAGTGGAGACACAGAGGCCCCCACCAAGACTGTCCTAAGCAGTTACACACCTGCACAGGCCGGTTGGCTCTACTGTAAGCCTGCCACTGCCTATGAGAGTCAGGTCTGCAATACACAAGGAAGGAGCCGCACACCAGCTCCTTGCGTCTCCTCCATCAAAACCTTCCCTGTCATGCTCATGGGACACCCTGCCATAGGACTGTCTGACCCTGCTTGCTCTGGGAACCAGCTCCTCTGTGGCTTGAGATTTTCCTGCCCCACCTCTAAGCTCTGACCTGTTGCTTTCTGCTTTAGTCTTTATCCAAAACTGTTGTCCCCATCCCCACCCCTGGCAGCTCTGGTGACTTCCATCTGTGGAACCCATCTTGCTCTCCACCAACGTCACATAGGCAGCCAGGCCTAGAGTCCAGGCCCTCGGCCCTACCTGTCACACCTATGGGGGGGCCCCATTTCCAAAGCTGACTGAAGGCCTCCCCTCCTCACCAAGATGGCCATGTGTGGATCCAGACCTGTGGAGTGAATGGTTGTGCCAACCCTCACAGGACACAGGAGCCAACGGAGGTTGGTGAGATTCACAGTCCAAGGAATCTGCACCTCTACACCATCCAGGCCTTTCCACCTTGCCATGAGAACTTTGAAGGACCCAGAGAAGCTGTGCCTTCCAGGCCCAGGAAAGTCACACAGAAGCTGCTGCTGTCTAGAGCCTGGAAATGAAGAGGAGGAGAAAGCTCACCAGAGAAATCAGATCCAGTGTCTGTGCCTCCTGGGTGTGGATCCCAGAAAATTGAAACAGAAACTGAGGCTGCCATAAAACTCCAGGCTCAGAGCCCAGAGCACAGAAGTGGCCTTCCCTCCCAGCGTGCGCTCTTAGCCTGTGGAGCACAGCCTCAAAGGCAGACCCCAGCTGAGCATGAACAGTGGACTCCATGCAGGGCCAAATCAGGGAACAGAAGACGCCTCTGTGGAGGAGCAGCGAGAACCCGTCCAAAACGGCTATGAAACATTTCAGTTTTAAACGCCAGGGCATCGGCTGAAGGAGGGGGACCGCAGAGAGGAGAGTGAGCAGGAGGATTTGTTAGTAAGCACCTCCAGCTAGACACCCCAGGCAGGAGGGAGTCACCCCCACTAGCCTCGAAGCACTAAACTCATACGGTGATGTCACTTGCCACTGGTGCTAGGGAACATGGGTCAGTATACTCTAAGGAGCTTCCACAGGTGTAAGCCAGAGCCGTCTGAGAAGGGATCGGTCCCCTTCTGCTGTGGAGATTCAGGGTGAGATGTGGGATGTGGATGGTACAGTCTGATTACCTGATGCTTGGGGAGAATAGTTTGGGCGGTGGTCAGCTCATGATGCTGACTCTCAAGCCCTAAACCGGGGCACGGGATGTTCCTATGTGTCGGTTCCTGGTTCCCATCCCCGGGCACTATGCCTGCAGAAACTTGGAATCCACATTTTGAACCCTCCCTGCCTGTAATAAGCCTGGGGCTGGAAAAGTAAATACAGGGACTGACTGCAGTGCCTTCCCACCCAGCATCCCTTAGTGGTCATTTCTGTTATCTGGAGGTCTCTGTGCGTCTGGCAAAGACGCAGCCTGAAGAGTGGCCAAGAGTCTCCCTCCATTAGCTGCAGTAGGTATGCTTTTCATGTGTGTGGTAACTGGGCTTCTTATCCCCTTTGCAGCCCCACAGAGGCCCCAGCTAGTCCTGAGTTGCTCAGTGGGCCGGAGGGACGGCCAGAACCCCTGGTGCAGTGCACAGCCTGGCTGGAAGCCTATTTCCATGAACCTGCAGCCACGGAGGGGCTCCCCTTGCCTGCTCTCCATCACCCTGTGTTCCAGCAAGGTCGGTAACCGCGCTCCCTTTGGGGAGCCTGACTTATTAACTATGGCTGACATCACAGCTCGTTTACTGACTACACAGGCTTGGAATTTTCACTCCGTCTAAACACGGGCGGCATGCGGCCAAGCCGAAGGCCGAAGGCTAAGAGCTCACGACCCCGCCCACTCCGAGTGGTTGTGTTGGTTTTGGCACATGGTCCCATAATTCTTGGCAAAAGCAGTAAAAATGATGCATGCAGATCAACTCTTGACTCTGGCTTGGCTGAAAGGTTTAAATGGGAACACATCTGAATGGCAGTAAATTCTTCAATAAGCTTATTGTTAGCTTGAACTCTCTGCCTGCCAACTGCACAGAGAATAAGCCCTCTATCTGGACAGTTAGCCACTTCTGTGAAGTGCCTTGGTAACAGTGACTTCAGAGGCCACTCCGCCACTGCATCTTCCCAGATAAGTTTGAATTTCTCCGGCTTACCATGTATGTGTTCTAAACGATGAATTTTAAATGCATTGCTTAAATATAGTTGGCTAAGGGCACTGAAGGCCTCCCAGTAATCTAAGAAAACATCCCATTTCTTCTAAAGCTTGTTTGGATCTGTTCAGCACAGAAATTAATTACTGCAGCTAAGATCATTCCGGACCTATAGCAGAAATTTCGTCTGCATACTGACTTTTATAAGAAATCATTCCATATATATTAGTATATATTCACTTTCAGACATACGCGTTCAAATACGTGTGTCTCCTTAAGGGGAAACTAATTTTTTTAACTATGGTGAAGCAATCTTGAGGTTCAGAATGGTGTTTTCTAATTATAATTTAGGGATGTTTGAATTTTGAATTGTTCCCGCTTTTCAGTTCACACTTGAAATTGGAGAGTTTGGAGGAAAAAAAAAAAAAAAAAAACAAGGTCAAAAGCCCTCTAAGTTCAGGCTGCTGCCTGACCAGGTTCACTCACGAGGTCAGACAAGTGAGGGGCTAAAAAATGAGAATCTACTTTATGCAAATAAACTGAAAGAACAGCTGGAATGAATGGGCACCTTATTCACCCCTGTGTTGTCTAGGATAGTCTTTGGAAGGCTGTGCCCAGCAGGGGTGCCAGAATTTGTTAAGGGGTTTCTGGGAGAGGTGGATGGGTATCTGTAGGACAATGTGTATCCAGTGACCACACCTTCATCATTCACCCACTGGGGAAGAGAATTTGTCTGTGTACCTGCCCAGGCTTTGTGGGGGGACTGAGAGCAGTGACTGAAGGGACTGCGTGTGACTGTTGAACACGTCCAACTGCCCAGCACCGGGGGCATCTGTTGCTATGGAGCCCAAGGAAGTGAGAGCAGAGTCAGACATTTGCAACCACTGTGTCCCTATGGGGTTATTGCCTGCTGAACAGGAGAGAGAGAGAGAGAGAGAGAGAGAGAGAGAGAGAGAGAGAGAGAGAGAGAGAGAGAGAGAGAGAGAGAGAGAGAGAGGAAGGGAGGGAGGGAGGGAGGGAGGGAGGGAGAGAACGCACTACAGTTCAGGGTCTCAGGATAGAAAACTATCTTATAGAGGCAGGGCTATCTCCATAATCCCATGAGGTAGTAGATGAAGAATGAGCCTGTAAAATCCTAACCTTTCCTGAGATGGTTTTATTACTTAAAGAAAACTGTAGAGGCCAAAATTGTGAGGAAATGACTCACTTTTGGCAAGCCAGACAGACAGTGGGGTCTGCTGGCCTGGTGCCACCAGGGTCCAGATTGTACCTCGCCCTTACACAGACCAGGCCAGTGACCTGGAGAAGGTGTGGTGTGAGTGTGATCTCATGGTCAGCGGAGGGTGCCCACCAAGAGTGGCCCTAGAAGAGCCAGGGATTCCTCGGCAGTGAGAGATGCAGAGGAGCCCTGCCACACTCTCGGCCACTCCCGTGCATATCAGTGGACTCCTGACTGAGGTGCCAGATCCCAAGAATCCCCAAGCATGTCCCCAGCACTTCAAGAGCCCACACCAGGCCCACACAATGGCAGTGCCCTGTGCCAGCAGGTTCTTGTGGATCTTTGGAGCCAGGAAGATAGATAGAAACATCAGAATAGAGTGAAGCCATGGGCCACCCCCAGCTCTGCAGTATAGGTGAGCGCTTCCAGACAGACAGGATCCGCTCTGGCAGAATTAGATAGGGTGAGGCTTCTTCTGCACGCTTTTTCCTCCTGGTGTGTTCGGAATCTAAGATCCAGGCTGTCCGCTCCCAAGGTTGCTTGGACTAGGCCTGCCCCTGATAGTTAGTGACTGCTGTGGGGCCAGGGTTTCCCACGCCTAGCATGTGCAGGCCAGGTGTTTTTAATTTAGTATAGTCATTTGCTCCTGGGCAAGGACCAGGTGTGCAGATTTTACAGCCTGGAGAAGGAGGGCTAGGGTTGGTTAGGGCACCCTGGCTTACATGGAATTAATTGGGTCCACTCCACATGTGTCCAGTTTGCATCTTGTAATGCCAAGGAAAGAGCAGAATGAAAGTCTCACCAAAAGCATCCTGGGATATCTCAGTGTCCTCTGGAACCTGGGGGGACCCTAGACCAATCTGTACAGAGCAGGAAGAATGGGTCCACTTTGATACGGAATTAAATTTCCTTTACCTGCTCCATTTTCTGTGCGTTTTGATTTCTGGATTTGTTTTATGCTTTTGCATGTCTTTTTTTCTTGGGGGTTGAGGAGCAGTGTTTGTTGCGGATTGTTTTTGTTTTGCTTTCTTGTTTCCATATCCTTCATGATTTGGTCCTGATCTGTCCATTCCGACCTGTTTTTAGAAGAAGAGACTTATGGGCTGGAGAGATGGCTCCGTGGGTGCTGTGCTTGTTGTCCAAGCCTAACTAACTGGGATCAGATTCCAAGTGTCCACACAGACAGATTAAGTGGTTCATACTTGTTATCCCAGTGCTTCTGTGATCTCTGATGAGACAGGAGAATTACTGGAAACTACTGAGCCAGCTAGCCTGGCCTATATGGTGGTGAAGGAAGGATAAGGGAGACCCCTTTGAGGGGGTCAAACGACCCTTTCACTGGGGTCGTTTATCAGATACCCTGGAAAATCATATATTTACATTATGATTCATGACATTAGCAAAATTGCAGTTCTGAAGTAGCAATGAAGTAATTTTATGGTTAGGGGATCACCACAACATGAGGAATTGTATTCAAGGGTTGTGGCGTTAGGAAGCCTGAGAACCACTGGTCCAGAGGCTCTTGATGGTACCTGATTCTGGGACTGTACCAGTAGCAACCTCCGCATGAGCCTTCCATCCATTCTTCTGGCTGACTGACTGCCCAGGACATCTGAACATTTGAGTATCCAAGTCGCATCCAGCCCAGTGTGCTCCAGTGTTGATAATTGGGGGAGGGGGTTCTCTTGATTTGGAGTTCCTAGGTGTATTGCTAGAAGGCAGCATGTAAGTAGAGATTGCTCATTTGTTCATGGCTGCCCAGACCCAAATTATCACACAGAAACTATATTAATTACAATATTGTTTGGCCTATTAGCTCAGGCTTCTTATTAACTAACTCTTAAATTAACCCATTTGTACTAATCTGTGTATTGCCATGAGGCTGTGGCCTACCAAAAAGATTCTTGTGTGTCCTCCTTTGGCAGCTACGTGGTGTCTCCCTTATTCTACCTACTCTCTATATATACCTCTGTTTGGATTTCCCACTTGGCTTTACTCTGCCCTGTCGTAGGCTGAAGCAACTTCTTTATTTACTAATGGTAATCTTTATTAACCAATGGTAATAAAACATGTGCACAGCATACAGAGGGGAATCCCACATCAGCAGCATTTCAGGGGAGACATCCCTGAGAGCCTCTGGGTCTTCTGACCCCCTCTAACCAATGGTAATAAAACATGTGCACAGCATACAGAGGGGAATCCCACATCAGCAGCATTTCAGGGGAGACATCCCTGAGAGCCTCTGGGTCTTCTGACCCCCTCTAACCAATGGTAATAAAACATGTGCACAGCATACAGAGGGGAATCCCACATCAGCAGCATTTCAGGGGAGACATCCCTGAGAGCCTCTGGGTCTTCTGACCCCCTCTGGCTGTATCTTTGCAGGACTGGTCCTATAGATCACAGGATTCTCAGGCTCCCTACATGTCTACAACGTTCTGTCGGCATTGGCTGCCCTTCCCCAGAAGACACCAAAGCCCTAATGGACAAACTCATACCCTCCCTGAGAATTATGCTCTACAAGAAACTGTTGAGCTAGCTCTGGGGCAGAGAGATGACTCAGTACAGTAATACAGTGTTTGCCCATACTGCAGTGTTTGTCTGGCAAGGGCAAGAGTTTAGTCCCCAACAGTGTCCCCTGCAAAAAAGGAAATGGTTTCCAAGTCTCCTGAGTTCTTTCTGCGGCATGTTTCACTCTGTGTTGCGTTGATAGTCTCTGATAATTTCTTGGAACCTGTAACAGTGGCACACTAAGGGGTGGTGTGCTGCCATTTATTGACAGGTGAAGCTCTGGGCAGTGTGTACATACGTCTAGGAGTGTGCACATAGCAGACCAAGGGCGTGGGCATTTGCTTTTGTCTTGAGAACAGTTAGCTAAGGCACTGTGTATTTCCAGTTACTTCCAAGTCACTGCAGTGTTTTAGAAGATGTCCTGGGAATCTCAAGATCATGACTAGGAGACCATAGTTGTTGAGGGTTGCCATAGCTAACCAGAACTATCATGGGGGTGTCCGGGAGCAGTTAGAGAGAAAGGAGGCTGCTTCCGAGCCTGGATTTCCATTAATGCAATGTAAGGTAGACCCAGTGTTGGGATCACTGAAGGCTGGCATACACTCAATGCCATCTCAGGGCAAAATCACAACCAGCCAGACACCCAAGAAATTGTGGGGGTTCAGGATGCCTCTGTGCACAAGAGCCCATGACCAGTCAGCAGTTGCTAAGGCACTAGGGAACCTAGAAACCAGAGAGCTGGGTCTGTAGCTAAAGATGCAGTCCAGGCTTTGATCCCCAAGGTCTTCAGAGGTCTCCATGAGTA